AGAACCCGTTATATAGAATAATTAACCAAAGTGATTGAAATCAACTTTATTAACCCTCTGGTGATTTACTAACAACCTTCCATATCCTTTCAAACCTCGTAACCATATAGTGAACTGCGTACATAAACAGTTGCACTAATGCCACATAAAACACAGTATACCAGAGCAGTATTCATCCTAACAGATTCTAACAAACCCTGGTGTTGGAATTTGACTGGTTTGGGATCATTAGGGTTAATTCATTTCGCTATCCATTATCACAGTGGCAGTTGCTCAAGAGAGCTATGCTTGGAGGAACACATCAGAACTGGCAGTCGGATATCATCTTAGAGAGAAAAGTACTGGACATTGTCTCTGGCCCAGGGTTGTTTATTCTAAAAAATATGATTAATCTAAATTCTTTTCTGTAGCAGAATACCTTGGCAGGTCCAAAACCAGTATTCTTAGGTGGCACAGCCAGGAAGTTCCCTTTCTATTTCTCAAAACAATTAGTTTTGAAACCACTTTAAAAACACAGCCATTATATCATATTTTCAGCCACTGTAATTTCAAATATGGTCCTAGTATGAGCTGTTTCTGCTTTTTACAATCTTGATAGGATAGACAAAGGGAAGAGAAATGAGGTTGTTTCCAATTCTTTTGCATCTGCTTTCATGAGCCTTAATTTGGGTGGTGGATGAGCTTTCTGTTGTGAAAATTGGGCTCACTAGAGCATTTTTGATAACCCTACCCCTGAGTAAATTCTACAATGTGGAACGTACAGCAAAACTATTGAGTATTAATGCTTAAATTTTAAGCCATAAAAAGTGCTGCATCAATAAGTTTTAAATGGAGATCTGTTCCTGTCACCAAAAGAAAGATTATTAATAGAGATCATTTTTATAAACTTTACAAGTACGCAGACATGCAGAAAAAATGTAGTTAACTGTTTTACTCTAATCTAAAATTACACGTGGTTGAGGTATATGTTTGTTTTCATAGTTTCCCTACTTTTGATATGTACCTTCCTTTCCATTTACAACACATGTAATTATGTGTATTATATTTTGCTCACTCAAAACAAATCAAATGGACAAAAAAGTATTTAGAAAAAGCAAAAACCTCAGTGAAAATAAAGTTTTTACTTTCAAGACAGCTCCAACTTTCCTCTCATTGTTATGGTTTCACTGTTTTAAATGAGGAAACTTCGAATTCATTAATGTTATTTTTTTTGAAACACATTTGAAAAACGTACCTCAAAATCTGGTGAACAGAATACTGCTTTAAATCTATATTCACATATACACAACATTGAAGTAGTTGCATGGCTTTGAAGAATCACGGTACATGTACAGTACATTAGACATTTCTGTACACTGAAAGAGAAAACCTAACATAAACACCTAACTGCTAATACAGTCAAATGAAAACAAAAACTTCACTGAAAATAAACTTTTTTAATCACTTTCATGTAACAAACTCAACAGTTCCTGATCTGAGATTTTCTGTTGGTTGTTGAAGAGAATGATAAATTAGCTTTACTTTAGTATATAAGATGAGATTGCAAAAAAGTAGGATTGATAGCTGAAAAACTCTTTAGGCAGTGAGCACATCAAAGCGAGAATACAGAAGTAGAAGTAATGGTGAAGTATAGATACAGATAAAAATAACAGTGAATACAACTTTATTGTCAGTCAGTATTTTGTCAGTACTTCCATTGCTTTTTAACTCTAAAGAAGCCAGAAACCTCGAACCTTCATGAGTTTTTCCAGTTATCTCTTGCAGTCATTTGGACACCAAATTTATCAGTACCACACTGTTCGAGAAATGCTCATTCTCCCTTGACAAGTCAGTCAGCCTCATTTTGGCCATGTCTTTAAGAAGAGAAGTCCAGGAATTTAAAGCTTGTCATTACGATAACTGTTGATACTTTTGTTCAGTTCAACTTTAAATTAAGGCCACCCTACCACCCAAAAATCTGCTGATCTATTTCAATTATTTCTCCCTCGTCATTCTGAATCTTAAAAGGGTATTTTCAACATATTGTTGGTATGTGGAATCAACTCCCACTTGCAGTCATATCAGAATATTTATTTTCATCCTCCATGGCCCACATTTTGGAATTTTACAAAACTAAATTCAACTTCAGCTTTGACTACAATTTTTGTATCTGAGTGTCAGCTTATCGTTGTGCTGGTTGCAGATGGCTTGAACATAAGTAACCCAACACATCGAAATCGGGAATAAATCGTAAGTTGAGATATGAGTATGGTCAGAAAGTGAATTTCATAAGCTTTCAAATGGTGTGTTGATGGTACCCTATCATACATACATACACTTCCGAACTATACAGAACCTGCCACATGGATTTTTCAACATTTACCCACGTCCCTACTTTACTCGGCCATCATGTAAAATCGCCCTTGCGACTTACTTCTGATCACGATGTACTGAGTCACATATTCCCAATTCTTTATCTCCACTTGGCAGTCTTTCATGTGAGTTTGTTACTTCTTCTGCTCTGGTATCACACTGTGATTTCTCCCTCCCCTTTCCGAATTTCCTTTGATTTTTCCCCATTTTTTTCCCCTCTCGCAGGCTCAGCAACCCCTCCTGCCTTTAATTCCTCCCCCACATAAATGTGGGCAATGTCTTCTATTGAATACCCACCCTAAACAGTCGCTAATTATGTAAATTCCTTTGCGTCTGATTCAATTCGCTAAAACTTCTGATCAGACGTAGTGCACCCTCTAATCCCATGAATGGCCGCCAGGTTTGTCGTCCTTTTCAGGTGTTAAAACCCTCTGCACCTGAAGTGGGGAAGGATGGGAGGGAGCCAACTGTTTGGGATAGGTATTCAACAGCAGACCCAAATTTCTGTGGGGGAGGAGTCTTCTGCCTTCAACCTACCCCAAACAATCGCTAAATATGCAGAGTAGCACCGAGCCCTTGGAGGGGGGTGTGGCGAGGATGCACTACATAATATGGGAACCAGAGGAGTATGAAATTGTCAAACTTTATTGCGGACCTGCCAAATACTGTAGTTGTTATGTTGTTCCAGAGGTGGACCGCTTTGATGAGGAACCCTTCTGCATCAATGTGGCCCATGGACCGCTCTGTCATGTGTGGAGTCCTTTTGCAGAACATTGGTGAGGTAGCATGTGGTGAAAGTAGATGGGGTCTTCTAGCATGCTGCCTTGTATATTTCCTCCATCGGTACACCCCTGAAGTAGGCCCATAATATGGAAACTGCTCGGATATCGTGAGCTCTGATGAGGTGTAGTATTTTATTGGCCACACAGTTCAGCCAATCTGGGTTGGCAAACTTGATAGCCGAAACTGCCCACCTGGCTAAAGTGTCTCTTGTCGCAACTTGGTGAGGTTTTATTGTAATGAAAAGCTATGAAGATGTCCCTCTGAGTTTTGTGGTTTTGGCTAAATACCATCTAAGAGTTTGCAGTGGGAACCATGGTTTGTCTGTCGTCTGGAGTATCATTGTGTTTGGTAATGTCTGGTACAAAAAGGAGGATGGAAGGAAACTGACGGCTTCGTGGTGACAAACCCCAGCGGGAATGAGACAAAAGCCATGGGGTTCCCAACAAATGTGGCCTTCTGTGATGGACAATGCTTCAGTTCACTGCCACGCTGTGAGAAAGTAACTCCAAGTAGGAGTGCCAGTTTCACTGAGAAATCTGGTCTGTCTGGAAGGATCACCAGTAGCCGGATGAGAAGTCTGGTCAGATGCAGGAACCATGGTTGGTCTGGCCAGAAGGGGGCGATGAGGAGGAGAAAACTGCCGGTATTAGGGATATTGGAAGGAAAGCATTGGCCAACATCCCTTGCCAGTAGATTTGAAGAGCATTTGTTGCCCAGGTTTGCGGGTGGTAAAATTTGGTGCAGAACACTGGCAGTTGGGCATTCTCTGCCAAGGCAAAAAGATTGATGTTTGGTTTCTCATATTCGGCAAAGATCTGTCCGACTATAGTCGTGAGCAGATATCACTCCGTGGGATGTACCTTTTCCCGAGAGAGAGAGAGAACGTCTGCAATGGAGTTGTTGACACCAGGAATGTTGGTTCCCTGGAGGTCGATGTCATGATCCTGGGCCCAAAGGAACATCTGTCTCATCAGGAGGCAGCAGGCAGGGAGCATGTGTGCCTCCCTGGTGATTGATCTATGACACCACCATGGAATTGTCCGAACAGATGAAGACTTGTTTGCCTATGATGCTTGGGTGGAAAGCTTTCAGTACGTTGAATAATGCCTGAAGTTCCAGTATATTGATGTGATTCCCTTGGAGCTAGAGGTTCCACGTTCCCTATACTTTAAGTGGTGGTAGGGAGGGTCCAAATCCCAGATGAGAAGCGTTCGAGGTTATAGTTATTTCCAGGTTCACCTTGGGAAGGGAACTCCGAAAGAGAGGTGTCTCTTCACTTATCATCACTGGAGATGGGGGCGGATTAAGTTTGAGATGGGGACCTAGAGATTGATTGAGTCCCATTTCGGCCAGTAGAGAGCTAAAAGATGAAGTTATAATGGATGCATGTACAGCCTGCAGAGTTGGAATGAGGTCCACCATGCTGGCCATCAAGCTGACTGCTCGGTAGAAAAGACTTTCATCCAGTCGAGAAGGTTGTCGATGTGTTTGGTCGTTGGTGAGATTATACCTTGCCGAAGGTTGACAGATGCCCCTAGATACGTCGGATATTGCATTGGGGTGAGATTTGACTTCTCATGGTTGATAATGAAGCCCAGATGATTGTTGATGTCGCAAGTAAGACGGGCAGAAACCTCTGTTTTGCTGAATGATCTGCTGACGATCAGCCATTCATCTGGGTACTGGAAAAGCATGACGTCCCACTTTCAAAAGGTGAGTGTAACCGTCTTTGTAACAATCTCAGGGATGTGTAGAGGCCGAAGGGGAGAGCTGTGAATTGAAAGAGGTTTCCGTTGTATAGGAAGTGTAGGTATTCGTCGTTGGATGAATCAGGATGTGATGATAGGCATCTTTCAAGTCTACGGATGAGGTCCAACATGGTATCTGTAAAGATTGGGTGACCGTCCGAAGGGTTTCCATGTGAAATTTCCTTTGGCAGATAAAGTGGTTCAGAGGTTTGAGGTTATTAATAGGTCACCAGCTGTTGAGTTCCTACTGTTGAAATGAAGCTCCTGTTTGCTTGAGATTTGGGAACCGGGTGGATATCATGCTTCCGAAGGAGAGAGTCTATCTCGGACTCCAGTGCCTGTCGTTTGCTTCTGTCAGTACGAATGAAATCAGACGGGGGATAGGTACAGACTCGTGAATTCAAGGGCATAACAGTAATGAATGGTCGCAAGCACCCAGCTGTCTGATGTGACTTTCTCCCAAGACCCTGTGAAGAGTTGAAGTCGCCCGCTGAAGGGTCCAGGATTGTGAGGTGGAGGCAGGTCTGAATAGTCAGAGACGTTTACCCGGTCTGGGGCAGCACGACTTGGTAGTTCTTCCCTTGAAGCTTTTCTAGGGTGGTTTGGTAGGTCGAGAGGAGGATGGACAGCCGCGATTCGCCTGATAACTGTGTAGACAAAAGGGGCAAAAGGAAGAGAATCGCACTGGTGGTGCATTCCGAAATGCGATTTTGCCGTACGTTATTATTATTTTCCAGAAAAATGTCTGCTTGTTTTCTTAACTACACTTATTCTATCAATTTTGTATTGTTTGTTGGATCCATTTATTTCAGATTTTTTAAAATTTTACTTAATTTTGCACAGTTTTGAGAAGTCAATTACTCTCTCTGCAGTGGACAATATTCTGTCCTTCAGAGAGCTAAGTTCACGTGTGGTAGTCATTTTCTAAACAAGACATCCAAATCTGTCGTCTTGAGCTAGGTCTAGGTCTTCACTCCATTGGAAATGTGCAGAGACGTGTAGACAATAGACCTAGCCGTAGCTCTGAAAGCCCCTTTTGGACACGGCTCGAGTCGTCGAATACGATAATCTTGTTGGTTCCCACTATTTGGTACAACGTAACCAAGTATACTCAAAGTGACCCTTACCAGTGTTTCCACTTCTTGCGCAATCGGGATTTCCCGAAACCATTCCGAAAAACAGATACCATCACTTCGCTGGTTACCACCGCATCAGTGGGCATAAACTAATGCAAGATGCCGATTAAGTCATGTTCTGAAGATTCATGTGTTGTGTGTACCGTACGTAGGACACGTTTATGCTCCTGTACGATGGCACGGTACACTACAGGTTTGAGAGAACAAGTGGCTTATCAAGCCCACAAAGTCAAAAGTAAAGCTCTGACAGCTTTGATGATATCACAGAAGCAATGTACACTGCAGCTATTCAGTGTGAAATACTCGGGAAAATTACCCAGTAACTGCTGCCTCCAAACATGGGAATCGTCATGAATTTTGCAAGATCTGCAGTACTGACTTTAGCATTAGCCATGGTGGACTTAATGACGGCAAGAAGCATGTGGAATCCAAGAAACATCAATCCCATAGCAGTGCCGTGGAATCCTATGCGAAGTTGACAGCTTTTTCCTGCACCATCCTATCACAGTGTCATCAATGCAGAAGTCATGTTTACAGAGTGCGTGGTAGAACATAGCCTGCCATTGGCTTTAGCAGATCACACAGGTAAACTTTTCAGACAAATGTTCCCTAATCTGAATAATGCAAAGAAGTATGGATCTGGTCATACTAAATCGACACACTTTGTGGACACCTTTGGGGCTCCCTTCAGCATGGCGACGGATGGAAGTACCAATTATAAAGATGTTAAGTTGTACCCCATTTGTGTGTTATTTTGATGAGGCACTTGAGAAAGCCATGTCAGTGCTACTTTCTCTGCATCAGTGTAACAAAGCTTCCATCGGTGAAAACATGCATCTTCAAAATACTAGAATAAGAACTTCGTAAATCTCATATCCCCTGGCAAACTCTTGTGTTTTGCTGCAGATAATGCCTCTGTCATGTTTGGGATACATGAAGGTGTTGCTGCCTTCCTGACTACACAAGCACCCCCTGTTTATATTTCAGGTTGATAACTATGCCTTCATGATTTTGATATTTTTGATGGGTCAAGGTCAGGATCTGAAAAAGTTGAAACATCTTGAAAAAATATAGTAACTAAAAAGGAAACTGCCATGTCACCATCCCCAAATTGCCCTTTCCAGTTCTGTTGGCCTGTTCTATCATTCCGTTTGTCAGTTTTGTCATGCTGGTGTTTCAATAACGTGCAGTGATGAGGTGTATTCATCTTTTCAAACCAAGAAAATGTTTCGTGCATTATTTGTCATTAGAAACCTCGATTAAAGTTTGTAGTGTAGCAATTCCCACAGATACAGGTATTTCAACATTGTCCCATCTAAAAACATTGATATCCAGCTTCAGTGCCCCAAATGTTTTATTTTTAAACAGGGTGTGCTTGCCATTCAGCGCAACTCAAGGTGGATGAATCACTCGTGGACATTTACTGCTACCTCGATAAAAAGTTCTAAAAGAAAGCAAGAGTTCCTAGCCATCCAAAAGAGGACTGAAGACACCTCAACATAATATACTGAAACATGTAATCACCAGGTGGATGTCTTTAGGACAGTGCATAGCAAGACTCTTAGAGCAGTGGGATGCTCTTCCCTACTTTCAGCACCAGTTAGTATTTGAAAGTCAACAAAAGAAAAAAGGTCTGCAGGAAACTGCTCCCAAGAAAGGAAAGTCCTCCAGCCTCACTAAGCCACCACACACCTCCAGCCTTTCCATGCCACCTTCTGGCTCCAGCCTTGTCTGGCCACCACCCACGTCCAGCCCCACTAAGCCACCTTCCACCTCTAGCCTCACCAAACCACCTTCCACCTCTAGCCTCACCAAACCACCTTCCACCTCTAGCCTAACCAAACCACCTTCCACCTCTAGCCTAACCAAGCCACCTTCCACCTCTAGCCTCACCAAGCCACCTTCCACCTCTAGCCTCACCAAACCACCTTCCACCTCCAGCCTCACCAAGCCACCATCCACCTCCAGCCTTGCCAAGCCGCCATCCACTTCTAGGTCAGCTAAACCATCATTCACTGCTTCTACAAAACCATCCACTCATGGCACTGCCAAACTACCAACTCCTAGCTCAAACCCAGAGAGAATTGTCAAAGTGATGATGGATCCAAACACTAAACTCTCCTGTTATTTTTTGATGCGAGCAATACCAGTGGTTGATAAATCCAATACATTTCTGCAGAAAGATGAACCCTGCATTTATCTTCTCCACAGTGTAATTTCTCAACAGTTCACTGACCTTGTAATAATATTCATTTGGCCACAGTGTATTACAGCAGCAGAAGTTACGAATGATATTGACTATGGAAAGAGAAGCAACCAGAAGAGTGATGAGGATCCCTATATAGGTGTGTGTGCCCAAGCCTACTTACAAAAACAGGGACATTTGTGTAACCTGGAACAGTTCTACAGCTGTGTAAGAAGGTACTATGCAAAGGCTTGTGAGTATATGCTCCAAGCATTCCTGTTTGGGGACAAGGTTCTTGTAAATGCTGAAAATCTTGGACATAACAAAAAGACATAAAATCAGATTCAACAGAGGGAATTCTATTACCAACAGTTTCCTAAGCTTATCTCTGAAGATGAAAAACAGGAGTTGGAGGATCAATTCATGAAGTATCAAGTAGACAAACTGCCATTTCCAGTGGAAGAGGCAAGAGTGGACAAAGCTTGGCACTTGATCTCCCAAATTAAAAAATGTCAACAGGGAAACCAAAATGCAATGTATTGGTGAAAATTGCCAAAGCATCACTGGTGATGTACCACAGTAATGCTGGCTGTGAAAGTGTATTCACACTATTGTCAAAAAAAGAAGACTGAGTTAAAATCAAGCTTGTCCACTTAAACACTGGGAGCACTCATGACGATGAGGGTGATGATGGCTGCAGCTGGAACAGCATGATATGCCACTAAGCACTCCAGACAACTGCTTGAAAAAGTGAAGGGTTCAACAAGTACAAATCTCAAAGGTGGAGGCAAATAAATAACAATTACTTGTAATTAATAACTATTTAAAATCAAATAACAGTACATGACACATACAAACACAAACATGATACATGCATATGTATGTCATGTACTTGTATGTGCCCCCGGTAATGTAAAAACATTGAGACAAATATCAAAGTGTCCCATTAATAATGTCTGTGCGTCTTAATGGGAGAGCAAAATGATTTTTCCTACAAGTTCAACAGGTAATGCACATTTTTTAACACGCGCAATGTACATGTAGTTCTGACATTGTAAATTTGAAAAAATATTACACATTTCACGATTTTTTTACTCGGCAAGGTTGGCAGGTACGCTGAAGGGATGAACCTGGCGTCCATCAGGATGGGATTGATGAGGTGAAGGTTCACGGAAGCTAAGTTTATGTATTGTGTCAATGTGCTTAACTTCCAACTCCGTCACCTTCACGAACTTCTGTGTGAAAAGATGTTTGTCATAAAGCTGGTGATCTGCAGAGGCAGAAGCAGTCTTCCCAGAGAGGCACAGAGGGTAGCCAGAAGACGGGGTGACGTATGGAGCCCCGACAGTGTAGGAAGCCAGTGAGCACTGTTGTTCCGGACTCGGGTGGTGGTGTGCCCGCATGGTGTTGAAGTGTTGCGCCCAGACTCAGCTAGCCGGGCAAATTTCGACCCTGAGTGCGCAGCTTCACTTATCGTTGACTGCGATGCTTCGGTGTTAAGTAGGGGAACTGATCATTCGGATATCGCATGCACTGCAGCTCAGACCCTTGAAGAGTGGCAAGGGCTAACCCTGAATTGAACCAAAGATGGTATTGCCAGCAGGGACGAGCTGTGGAATCACAAGTTGAGAAAGATGCCACTCGATCTTCTGCAGACTGACTCCTGTTGGTCTATAGGGGAATGTGGGGTCTCGGAATGATGGCACTTCCTCTTGAACCCCAACAAACTCGGGGTCATCCGGTTAACCCTATACATAGACCAAGGGACGAGGGGGACCGTGGTATTGGATCGCTCGCACCGCTTCATGGAAACCCAACAATCCCAGGGTCACTCCATTGACCCTGTATATCAGTTGGTAGTATAATAGCATAGTCAACAATCTATAGAATGCACGCACATAAGAGAAAAATACCACCAAAACAAGAAAATACACACATTTACTCATAAATATGGAATGCACGTTTATTACAATATGTTATGGTTTAATCAAAATATCACAAAGGTGTGGAAGTGAAACGGAAACTCGATAAACTCGAAGATGTCAACAAGATGTCCATTTAGAATCACGCTAAGGAAAACAAAGACGAACATCGAGGCCACTCCACTATGCATTGTGGGACTAGAGGGCGCACTACAGTTGATCAGACGTTTTAGCGAATTGAATCAGACGTAAAGGAGTTTGCATATTCAGTGACTGTTTGGGGTAGGTTAAAAGCAGAAGACTATTTTCTAGTGGTGGCTCTGGCTTATTCCCTTTTACATAGGATTGGAATTGTTTTTTTGTGTTGTATTTTGCAGAATATCATTTTTAAGTGTTTTAAGATCTAACTTTTGACAATATTTAGAATTTATTGCTTTTATTTTTATGGCCTGTGGAAAGTGTAATGAAATATAACAAGCGAGCCAATATGTATTTTGCCCATGATTGTTCTCAGTTCATGAAGGCTCACATGCAAAGTGCAGCACAGAGGGAAGAGGGGATGAAGGCAATGGGGCACTTTAAAAAATTAAACAAGAGGTATGTTCTTCTGTGAATGAACACAGTTGTTTCTGTCTCAATTCTTCTCAGTTCATTTTCCACCTAAGTATGACATTTCTTTACGATGTGACATTGTAAAACAGTTTTGAATGATGAGTCTTTAAAGTGATGAGAGCTGTATCCTGATGATGTTGTCGTGATATCAACAACATATTTTGATTCTCATCTATAATACTTCCTTATCTAATGATCTGCAAGGTTTCATCCATTTCGCACATGCACTTCAGAAGATATAGTGCTTTCAAGGATGCACATTCAATGCCACATGATATAATGTCAATTTTCATCTATCACACTTCTGTTTCTAGCTATCTCCAAAGTTTCAACCCATCGGACATGTACTTCGAGAGATATTTTGCTTTGAAGAGTACACATTTATTATGTCACGTGACTTAAACTTAAAATCATAACATGAGGTAAAATTTGTCTATAACACATCCCTTCTAGCTACCCACAAGTTACCCAACGGACACATACATCCAGCAATACATGTATAGTGCTTTGGAGAGTGCACTCTTTATGTCACATGACCTGTTGCATGATGATGTCATAATCATATGGTTCAAATTTTTGTCTGTGACATTTCCGTTTCTAGGCACCTGCAAAGTGTCCACTTAATTGGACACAAGCTTCAGAAGATATGGAGATCGGAAGTTTGCCCCTTCAACATCATGTCAGGTGACATGATGATTTGTTGTCTTGAACTTTCTCAGGCTGGTGGACTGAGAGAGCGCACCTAAAATATAGTCAGCTTGATCAATAACAGTGCCGAAAACTGCCTGTTGAAGAAAAACGTGTACAAAACCTAAGGGGAAAAATAAAATATTATATATTCAAATATTAATAAAAAAAATCACAAGATGACATCAGCATGATGTCATAAATTTTGCATAATTTTTAGATCAGGGTCTTTGTTGGCTGTAACTGTGATGACAATTGATCGCTTAATTACCAAAATGGTGCCTTGAAAACATACACGTATAAAGTTAATGGGCTAAAAATACCTATGCATAAAAACCTGCACCTTTAAATGCATGTCACATGATTTGCATTTGACTTCAATGTTTTTTCTAAAACTCTTGGGTATATTTCAAATCAAACAAAGAAGGGTAAGAAAACCTGATTTCTCTTTTGTTCTCATAGTAATCCTCTGCCGAAGTTGACCGCTACTCACTCATTAAGTTGGGTAAATAGTGTGTAGTAGAAAACACGTACAAAACCTACAGAAAAAACTGCACTGTTTATCTCATGTCACATGACCCCTAATGATGTTATTATGACAATTTTGTTCGGGGGGGGGCCTCCCTGCGTGGAGGACTACAAGCCTGAACCAATATGAAACCAGTCAGAGCGCCAAAGTCTGGCAGTTGAAAAATGTGTACAACCTATGGGAAAAATGAAATACAGAGTATTTAAAAATAATTAAATCATCATCATGACATCATCATGACATAAATCTGTACTTATTTTTGTATTAGGGTCTTTGCTGTAACTTTAGAATGAATGAATGAATGAATATCGCAAAATGAACACTTTTAAACAATAAGCCCACTTCTGGTTTTGACCAGAAGGAAGGGTCAAGTGATTTGACCCACACAAGATGAATTGACCCAAATTTACTTTGGCACTTGCCATAAACAGAATGTTGGAGAAATGTTGGATACTGTATGTACTGCGTCGACACCATGGCGTGCGCGACAAACGGAGCCTCTGTTTCGATGCAGACATGCACAGATGGCGCTAAAATAAACTCCCTCCATTGCACTCTTCAAAAAACCTGCTAATAGCATCACGCAATTGTCGAGCGCCCTCTGCCGACAGGTTTAAAATTCTGAAAAATGAATTTTGAACAGATATCTTTGGTGAAGGTTTGTGGAATTGGCTGAAAATAGGTGGATATGATGACATTTACCCATTCAATACCTGCGTGAATTTTGGGGGCGACGATGTCATCACATTTGTCATCAAATTCTTTAAAAAATCAATCGTGTGAAGCATAAGCATGAAATACCCTTTAGCTGATAGCTAAAACATAAGAGTCCATTGCTTCAAGTGAATGACTGGCTCACCTATTCACACACATGAGGCGCCAATGACAAAATTACACCTTACTATATTTGCCTACTTGGGAATCCCATTATACTATACAATGTGTATTGGTGTCAATGTGGTTGAACACATTATGTCTGCCTATAACGAAGACTTCGCACAGTGTGTGAGGTAAAGTGCATGAGGCATACTCGGGGCCCTGAAAATGCATGTGGCGCTGAAGTCAGATCACTTTGTATTGAGTCCCAAATGACCAAAATGTTATTCCAACGTTTAGCACTGATTTGTATGAAACACCAAATGACCAACTTATTTTACATCCAATAAAATTTCTTCCATACTGTTTTCTTGATGAATACAACATTCACTTGCATTGTACATATTCAATTACATTAAAACTTGGCAGGTTGCAATCGAACGATGTGTTGTAGATGATCATTGACCTTGTGAACATAAAAATGACATGAAGAGATGACCAATAACATGATGTGAAAGGTGCACTATATCCTGTGAACTACTTGTCTGCTTGGGTTCAAATCTTGCATTTATCTTGAAAGCGGAGGGATTTAGATGGACAATGACCTGATGTAATGATGACATCATCAGAAGTTGAGGTGCACTCTGTACAGCACTATATCTCAAACTTTACAGATATCTTGAAAGGGAAGAGCTTTTGACAAATATTGGCCTGATGGCGTAAGGACTTCATCATGTGACTGGTCATTTGACATTAAAGGTACATTCTTTACAGCCCTACATCTTGTGACCTATATATCTGATTGAGCTGAAATTTTGTAGATAGCTGGAATGGGAAATGTTATAGACAAGGTGATATGCTGTAAAGGGTGCTAACTTTAATTAGTTATATCTCCGAAAGGTTTTGAATATTTCCTCATCGTGAGGTCACCAAAATATTACTAGAAACTTGGGGACCTCTTAGATAGATGTTTGGGCAAGAAATGAGAAATCCAAATGTGGTGGTGTCTCCAATGAAGGAATGCCTTTTTCTCAAAGAAAAAAAAAAAGAAAATGCAATAAAAAAAGCCCTTTGCTCTGTCCTGAAGATAGACTATACCTAAAGTTTTATTTCTTCCATTTTCTCTGACCCACACCCTGCTCCTTTTGTGCACGTTTTTCTACCCATTACTTTAGTGTTTTTGCAACTTTAGATCTTCATCATACCTTTACCAATGAAGGACCCTTTCCATAGATGCATGTATGTCTAGAACAATGAAGTCATTTGATTTATTATTGATGGTTCAATATTTATTTCAGCCTATTTACTTTGTTCACGTTTTAAGGCACCACTTTGGCAACTTAGCAATCTGTGATCATCATCAAAGTTACACCAAGCACAAACCTTAAAACAAAGAGAATACTAAAATAATAACTCACGATGACATCATCAAGTGAGTTATCAAATTTTGAATATTTAAATAAATAAAATGTTAAATTTTTAAAACTCTGCTTAAATTTAACCATGGCCTCCCACAACATTCTGTTTGCATGAAGTGGCAGAGTATAATTTGGTCTTCAATATATCTCATTTGGGTCAAATCATGTGACCCTTCCTTCTGGTCGAAACCGGAAGTGGGCTTATTGTTTACAAGTGGTAACGGGTATCAACTTGCTTTCAGTGGCGTTACTCTGTTGGGGGGTAGTATTCTTCATAAATCGTCTAGTGATGATGTCACGTAATTGTCAAGCACCCTCTGGTGACAGATTGAAAACTCTTAAAAATGAATTTTGAATAGATGCCTGCAGCAAAGTTTATCAAAATTGCCTGAAAATTGATGTCGATGATGATACTTACTCTTTTAAGACATGTATGAAATTTTGGGTGGATGGCATCATTAGACCAGCAGTTACTTTGAAAAGCTTCTTAAAAATTTGGTTAAAAATCAACCATAACCAATTTAAGCGTGAATTGTCCATTAGATGATGGATATTATAAACAAGTCGACTGCATGGAGTGCATAACTCGTGTACTTCTTGACACAGATGAAGCGCCGACAACAAAACCTCCTTACAATATTTGTAAGCGCGAAAATCCCATTCTTATGCTGTGCATTGGCTACTGTGTCCACAGCTGCGAAATATTTGCCTGTAATCTAAGCAGTATTATGAGGACGTCATCAAGTCACTTATTATTGATTGTCAATATTTATTTCAGCCTGCTGACTTTGTGCATGTTTTTGAGGCATCTTTTTGGTTACTCGACTACATTTGATCATCATCAAAGTTGAACCAAGCACACACCTTACAGCAAAGATAATGTGAAAATAATAATGTCACAATAACATCAAGTGATTTTTTAGGAAATTTTGGAACTTTTAATATCGAGTTAATTATTAAAAATCCATATAAAATAAACCATGGACTCCTCCAATCGTCTGAAAATTGGTGTGGATGATGATCTTAACCCAATTAACACGTGTGAAATTTGGGGCCGATGACATCATCATATTGGATGTTATAATAAAAAGTCCTTTTATTCTTCAGAATTCGGAAAAAATAAACCATAACAGATTTAAGCATGAATCGTCCATTAGATAATAACAAAGCACTAGTTTTGAAAAAGGCCCCCCCCACAAAAAATAAAAAGAATGCTTTTTTACAGAATTATGAAAAAAAGACAAATTTTAAAACAAATGCTGTTTCAGCCAGTGGCCTGAACAACTAAAATAAGGACAAAAAGAATGCCTTTTTTGCAAAATTGCAAAAAAGACTTCACCCCCCAAAAAAGAATTAAAATGCCAAAAGAGAACAAAAAGAAATCCTTTATCCCAAAATCGGGAAAAAAGAGGTACTCATTCTGACCTTTGGTACACGACTACCAAATTCAGTTAAGATCCTGCCTGAACTTTTTGAACTCATGAGCTCAAGATTAGTGAGTAGGCCTACTGCTATTACAGTGTACACTGTCACCGTCATGGAAATGAGCAATTTAAAAAATGTCATGATTGCCTGGCATTGACTAATAATACAGTAGTACTGCTGGGATACGATACCATCGCCACACTGTCTTGTGTTCCTAGAGTTTGTCATTTTTGCACTTTTATTTGCACTATTTACAACAATTTGAAGAAACCTCCGACAATGCGTTGGCCAGATCCACCTGTTCTGCACCAAGTGCAAGTGGATACGAGCACTGCCTTACGTTCCAAACATCTGTAAGAAATATTTCAAGCATCAACCTATCAATCTAAACTGATGTGCCACAGGCTTACAAATAAAAAAAAATGTATGCCTCCCAGGATAACTCTAAATTTTGTTTCATTTAGCACTATTTTGAATACTATGATTTCAAATAATATTTTAGAGAGAATGTTAACCAAATTTTGTGATGTGTAAAATTTACCATGTCAACACTATTTTGTGTAAATATCTCTTCTATATGTTAGTGGAAGAGGTGAACAACAACAACAACAAAATATTTGTACCGACACAACTAAGAAAGGAGTGGATTAAATTGACCCTTTTGTATTGCATATTCGTTTCTCAGTTTGGCTGAGTATGCCAATCGCAACAAAGATGGCACATGCACATTACATTGTGCTCATTGCACAATGAGCCACAGGATTAAGGGTGACCAAACCCTTTAATGAGAAAAAGCCTTGGATATAGCCAGGAAATTGCTCGACCTTCAAGATTTTAAATCAAGAGGCTTGTCAGCTTAGCTATAGCATGCACAAGCCAAATTTGAAATTTCTGTGCTACATATTTCCCAAGCTATCTCCCTGACAAGATTCCTATTGTTTTATCCATTGTGACCTTGACCTTTGAGTCCAAAATGCAATAGGCATCTTAAGATCATCAATAGCAATCCACAAACTAAATGTAGATTCATACGCAGAATATTTCTCAATTTATCATGCTGCGAAGATTTCTTTTGTTTTAGGCACTGCAACCTTGACCCTTCATTCTTGAATTCAATAGGCTTGGCAGAACTATGGATAGCAGTCCGCAAAACAAATTTGAAAATTATACACGAGGTATTTCTCAAGTTATCATGTTGACAAGATTTTTACTGTTTTAGCTATTTCAACCTTGATCTTTTGGGACCAATATTCAATAGGCATTTTAGTATCACCAACACTGATCCACAAACCAAATATGAAGTTAATAAAAATCAAAGTATTCCCCGAGTTATTGCACGGACAAAAGTTATGTTTTTTAGCCATTCTGACATTGACCCTTGTGTTTTGGGATCCAAATTAAACAGACTTCTTAAGATTACCAAGAGCAATCTGCAAACAAATTAGAAGTTCATATGAAAGGTTATTCTCAAGTTATCATGCTGACAAGAATATTCTGGACACTCACACTTACCTTACATACCTACGGTGGACATTCCTTTCTTTTTGTGCAGTTAAGAAAACTCGGGGAAAATACTCATTTTTCTTGAACTGGGAACACAATCTTCAGATGCCTTTTTGTACAAGGTTTTCTCGGCTATTCCTCTTGAGACAGATGACCCCTACCCTAAAATGCCTCTAAACTTCTTTTTCAGAGAAGGGGAAATGTCCTGTGGACGTGTGCAAGTCCACAGGACGTCTTCCTTTCCTGCATCATGTAGACATCTTTGGTTCACAAGTCCACAATAGGTATGTATTAGCGCACCCCCACACAACGCCATTGCACCCTACATTATGTGGACTTCTTTTGTGCAGAGGTCCACACTATGCATGCCATGCCCCTATACACTCGGAAATACCTGTTGTACATATAAAGAAAGTGTGGACATTCCTGTGTTCTCCTGTGGTTAAGGAAACCAGAGTTAACCGCTCCTTTTCTCCAACTAGGATAAATCCTTCGAGCTAGATTTACATTTTCCCAATAACCACTGTTATATTGCATTACTCTAGCTTTGAATCGAATTTGGTGCTTCTGTCATAAAATATATGAGAGTTTTGCTGTACTACTCCACTTTGGCTGAAAAGGGTAGGGTCAGCAAAATCTGCACCGGAGAGGCTAATTTAAGACAGAAAGCTCATCTACCACTCAAATCAGAGCCCAAGAACTGACTGTCCTCTAATTGAAAAGAAGGCTTTCTCTTTGAGAATAAATAGACTTTTAAATTCATGATTGCCTCAAAACTGGGCCACAGAGCATTTTGGTGGAGCCCTCAAAGCAATATACCAATGGAAATCACGGATGCAAAAGCAATGCTGTTATCCCTTGTTTGCCAATCCTTCAAGATTGTAAATATGGAAATAGCTTATGCTGGGACCATATTTAACCACCTGACGCTGGATGATGTGTAAACACACATAATTTACCTTATTTATTCCACAGAGGATTTTTTTTTTCATTTCTGCAGTTGATGTACTATTGATGCTCCATGCTTGATTGGATAAAAGCACAGCTGCAAGGTTGAAGAATAAAAAACCTGCTTCAGCAGTTTTTTCGGGTAAGCAAATCTGACGTTAACTGGCTTTGGGGCACAGGGGCCCCAAGTACAAGTTTTTATTTAGAAAGCAAACTGACTTTTTTTTTTTTACTGGAAGGCACAAATATCAGCTGTGCCTCTTAAAAGCACTGTTTTCGGATGTCCCAAGGTAAAGGCCTACTAATTCAGAGGAAAAAAGTAAAATTAATAATACATTTTGGCATAAATGGCCCTAAAATAGGGACTAATAGAAAATGGACATTTTTGAATACCTAGCAAGCAGACGATACCATGGTCAAACGCTCGTAAGACATTCTGCACCTTATGCTAAAATACTGCAATCATTTGTTTCATTCATCTGTTGAGTGTTTCAGAATACAACATAAGAACCAGCCAGAAAGTGCATAATGTTTAGCAGTGTTTATTCTTTATATTACGTCTTTATATTCTTTATATTCACTCATCACAGACTGCAAGTTCCATAAACTTACAGTCGTCAAAGTACCGGGACACATGAACCCATTCTTTTGAAATTCTATGATGCATATTTACATCAAACCGAGGAGCATGCATGAAGTAAGGGTGTTGGCAGTCCAACTGCATTGACCATGTAGAATTCAACCAGCTGAATCAGATCAGTGAACTTGGTGCTGCCTTCGTCTAAGGTAAAGAAAACCTGTCCACAACTCTCAACCTATACAAACAAATAAACAAAAACATATTGGCCATGAGCAGAAAGGAAGCTGTATCGGAGCATCAAACTAGCGATATCACCATGACCCATGTTTCAAAGCAGCTAATGGCCAACTTACACAGTTGAATAGTAACAGAATAATGGCCAGTAGAGTATAGAATACAGTGGGTTCAATTGGTTTATACTGAAAATGAACAAACCAAATGGTAGAGTGATAAACTGCGTCATGTAGAAAGCTGATTGATTTTTCAGACACTGCAGTGTGATTGTGTGTTCTGGCTAATTAGTAGTCTTGTTGGGTACAATTCATTCAAAGACTGGCTGGGAACTGTCAGAGTGGGTGTGGCTTGTAACTTTGCAACTTCTTGTGAAGTGTTATTATTTTGAGAAGTTAACATAATGATATATGTATATCAAAGGGGTTGTGTGTAAATCTAAAATATTGTATGGTAAATCTCTTTCCAACAACACTTCTTGTTCCTGCTTGTCAGTATAAACAGCCCATAATACGCAAAAAGGGGTTAAATATGGTGAAATCAAGCAAAATGGGCAAGTAGTCAACTCAAGGAAATTTCTACATGTAGCTTGTTATTCTTCCATGTTAAGGATACCGTAAGTTCCCATCTTGTAAAAACATGATATGAATAAGACCTTTGATAACAAAGTTTGAGCATTTTGAATGGCAGCATACTAATAAGAAGAAAACTGAGAAATTTGTTTTTTGAATTTGTATTTTGTATCAGTATTTAGGTTAAAACAGTCTCACTTAAAGGTTTATTCAATTTTCTATCCGAAGATACCCAGTTGTACAGGTGAGGAAGAATACAAAGGAAATATATGTATGTGGATTCATTCAGTGATTTTCGACAACAATCTAAATTGGATGAGATAAAAAAAAGATGTTTTGGACTCTTTCCCTTCTGAACTTGGGTAAAGTAAGAAGATTGCCTATTCTTCAAGTTTTTTTGTAAAACTACATCATGTCTCAGAGCTAAAAGTTGTCCTTCTTTCAACATGGGCATTGGGGGAGGGGCATTTTCTCCTTTGGGAACAAAATTTAGAACAAAATTGGGATGGGGATAATTTGCTTGCAAATACCTCAGAAATGATCCCTTTCCACTGTTTGCTGCTGCTGAGTGCTTTGTCCCCCCTTAAAGAATTCATGCAACACCAATGTTTCTGATTAGTTTTGCTGCATAGAACTATACATTATTTAAGAAGCAAATTCCAAATGAGTAGTAAGCAATCCTGCTTGCCTGAAAGCAAGATCAACCTGAAACATAAGTACAAATGCACACACTCTAATATAAGAAATAAAGCAAACTTGCTTACAACATTGATCTGGTAGTGTTTGACTTTCTGGTTGAAGCTAAATGACAAAACGTATGCACCAGCTATCCTTTGAGACTCCCGCACCAGGAACATGCCATCCACCATACCTTTCTTGGCAAAGAGTTCATGAGTTTGCTCACGTGTTAGCCCGCTATGGAACCATGGCTGAGTCATATGGATACCTGCTGGGAAGGGGTAAGGGAAATAATTGAAATTAGTAAATATTGCTGCTAATTCTTGACATTATCAACCAAACACATCAGTGGCATATACAGTTGGAGGGATGGGGTTCCAGAGATATTCTAGCATTTTTTTGAGGAATTGGAAATCACAAGACTTTAGAAATGGTGCAGCCATCTTCCTTAAAGAGGAGTATAAGGATTCTTTAATGGATAAAAAGTCTTGTTTTGAATACTTCCCAATTGGACCTTCCCCATAAAATATGCAAATTAGACAGGCACATGTGCCTCACTACCACTGGTTGGCAAGCTCGGCTGTCAACACTGTTGGCAGCATATAGGAGAGCTGCTCTAACCATAACCTGGCACGTTGAAGGTCATTCAAAACCATATTACAGCTTCTGTCAGATACTTCAGCATGCTTTTCTCAAAACTATTAAAGTGAAGATTTCAGTGTCCAGGTTGGAAGATAACAATCCCTTTTCAAACTATACTAGTACAGAAACGGTGTGTATGTGCTCATAGTTGCACTTGCATGGAGATTTGTATTGTTACGTCATAGATTTAAATTAACTTTGTTAACCTTGCGGCGGGCAGAGTTGATACACTTGGTGTCATCATTTTTCTAATTACGTAATTAAAAAAAAAATTTCAGCCAAATGCAAAAACCTCTTGTTAACCAGTGGTAGTAATGCGCATGTTCCTGCCTTATTTCAATATTTCACGGGGAAGGTCCATTCTTAAAAGTATGGTCATACTTTTGTAGTGACCCCAAAAAGCCTATCTGGTATACAGGTTTTTCACATGATGTAATATGACATGCAAAGGTATTTAAGGAAGTGTACCATGTCTGTGGAGGGGCATGCATTTTGTAATTTGTGTATTTCTATTGGCAATTTCGTGTATGCCAGAATCTTGAGAGGTTCTAAAGGCACATGCATTTCTGCACACATCTGTGTAAACTTAATGCTGACCATTCAAAAATCATGTGACTGAAAATCCTCTATAAAGAAAATGAAAAATATTGTAAGCATCCTGCGAAATCATTTAATCTAAAATTCCCGTTGATTAGAAATCAATAAAAATATGTCCAACAATTTGAATCTCAAAGAGACTGCCTGTAGGTGAAGTATGGAGATTTTTGAAGTGTCCATCGGAATGCTGCCCTCATGCGGTGAAAATCTCCCAGCTGATAGAGCCAATTTGCAATCCATGCTGTTTGTGATGGGTGGGCTGCACTCCCACTTGACCCATTTTGCATTATACAGATATAACTGTGTTGTGTTTCGATGCGACACTTCATGAGGGACCAACATGCTGTGCAGTACACATCAATAACATGTGGTCTGAATCAGCAATGAAGGAGCTGGCTGAACCACTGCACCAATGGTGCTGAATCGGATCTGCTGGGTTTTGGGAGGCTAGTCAAAGCAATGCTCTGTTTGAGCCATACAGACAGAAATATTGGCAGACCCATAAGCTAAAACCAACTAAAAATATGGTCTTACATGTCTTTATTCACCATCAATTACTGAAAAGGTTGCAGTAGAATTGCAAGTGAACTGGAGTACTTGCTGAGGAATACTGTGTCTGCTACATCTCTCTAAGTACTCTGTGTCTGTTATTTCTATGCTGATGAACTTTCCTTGAGGCAGGGCTTAGATACAGTTTAAAACATGATTGTAGTTACAACAACCAAACTTAAAAAGACAAAATCTTGGTCAAACATCTTGGTTTCAGGATTTTATTTTTTACCTAACGATTTGTTTCTTTTGAGGGGGGCTTTTTTGCAGGTTGCGAAAAAGGCCTTACTTCTGTTCTGTTTTTTGGCTTTTTTGCAAGTTTTTGGCTTTTTTGCAAGTTTGTGAAAAAGGCATTATTTTTGTCCTGTTTTTTTGCCTTTTTTGCAACTTTGCAAAAAGGACATTCCTTTTCTTCTGTGTTTTTTGGGGGCTTTTTCGTAATTTTGCACAAAAAGTCATTCTTTTTTGTCCTGTTTTGGCTTTTTCACAATTTTGCAAAAAGGCATAAGTTCTGTTGTGTTTTTTTCAATTCAATTAGTGCACGTTTTTGTAACCACAACTTTCGTGCTTTTGCAAAATTGGATCTTATCAAACTTGTACCAATGAGGGACCCTTATGCACAGATGGTCCAAGAACATTGACGTCATGACAACATCATCAAGTGATTTATTATTGATTTTTCAATATTTACGTCAGCCCATTTACTTTGTACACGTTTTTGAGGCACGATTTTGGTAACTTCGCATTTTTCGATTGTCAAGGGAAGATAATACGTAAATTTTATGTCATGGTGACATCATCAAGGGATTTATTATTAAATTTGAAATCTTTAAATATTATGTTATCTTTCAAAAATCCATATAAAATCAACCCTGGCCTCCCACAACATTCTGTTTGTAGCTAGTGTGGTCTTTAATTCATCTCGTGTGGGTCACATCACATGACCCTTCCGGTCGAAACCAGAAGTGGGCTTATTGTTTAAAAGTGGTAATAGGTATCAAGTTGCTTTCAATGGTGTTAGTCTGTTCGGGTATATCATTCTTCAAATTATCCACTGGTGATGTCATGTAATTGTCAAGCACCCTCTAGTGACAGGTTAAACATTCGGAAAAATGAATTTGAATAGATGTCTGTGGCGAAGTTTGTCTGAATCGTCTGGAAATTGATGTAGATGATCATCTTTACCCAGTCAACGTGTTTATGAGGTTTCGGGCTGATTGGCTCATCAGACCGTCAGTTACAATAACAACTTTTTTATTCTTCAAAATTCGGTAAAAATCAACGGTAAGAGATATAAGTGTGAATTGTCCATTAGATGACAGCTAAAACATTGGAGTCAGCTGCAGAAAGTGCATAACTGGTGTACTTTTTCACACACATGAAGCGCCGTCGACAAAAGCACTGTTACAGTATAAATTGCCAACTTGAAAATCCCATTCGCATACTGTGCATTGGCCACTGTGTGCGTGGACGCCCAATATCTGCCTGTAACATAGACAGCGCACAGTGCATAGGGCATATACTCCGGACCTGGCAAATTGCCGAGCATGTGGCGCGGAGAGCAGATCGCATTGTATGGAATGCCAAAAGGAACAAATGTTTAAAATGTCTAATCTGTGCCTTTTCCCGCGATAACGATAATGTTTTGTATTGTTCTTTGCATTGTACATGTCTGATTGGGTTAAAACCTAGCAGGTTGTTAGGAAGGGAAGGCTTATAAATAGAAATTGACCTCACATGATGACGTCATCAGCAGACGAATCACATGACATTAAAGGTGCATCCTTTAAAGTACAATATCTCCTGAAGTGCATGTCTGATTTGGTTCAAACTTGGCAGGTATTTAGAAAGGTAAGTGTTTTAGATGAAATAGGCCTCATGTGATGATAACATCATCAGATTATCATTTCACGTTACATTAAAGGTCCACTCTTCCAAGCATTATATCCCTTGATGTCATTGTCGGATTGGGTGAAACCCTGCTAATATCTTGGAAGGGAAGTGCTTCAGGCAAATATTGACCTCATGTGATGATGACGTCATCAAATGACAAGTCACGTGACTTTAAAGGTATACTATTTAAAGGTCTATATCTCCTGAAGTATATATCCAATTGGGTTCAAACCTTACATTGAAAGGGAAGTGATTTTAAATAACTAGTGCCCTCGTCTGATGATGACCTTATCAGGTGACAAGTTACGTGACATTAAAGGTGAAATCCTCAAAGCCCTATATCCCCTGGCATTCATGCTTTATTGGGTTGAAACGTGGCGGGCAGTGCACTGTGTGTAGGGCATATACTCAGGACCTGGCAAAATGTTGAGCACGTGGAGCTGATAGCACATCGCATTTTATGGAACGCCAAAAGGGCAAATGTTTAAAATCTCTAATCTATGCTCTTAAATTCTGTGATAACAATGTTTTGTATTGTATTTTGTGTTGTACATGTGTGATTGGGTTGCAACCTTGCAGATAGTTAGGAGGGGAAGGTTTATAAACGGAGACGTCTTCAGGTGAGAAGTCAAGTGACATTAAAGGGGCACTATTTAAAACTATTTATCTCCTGAAGTACATGTCCAACTGGGTTCAAACCTTGCAGATATATTGGAAAGGAAGTGCTTCAGGCAAATACTGACCTCATGTGATGACAATATCATTGGCAGACAAGTCATGTGGCATTGAAGGTGCATCCTCTAAAGTGCTATATCGCCTGAAGTGCATGTTTGATTTGGTTAAAACTTGGCAGGTATTTAGAAAGTGAAGTGTTATAGATGAAAATTGATGTCATGTGATGAGGATAAATCAGATGATCATGTCACGTGACATTCAATGTGCACCCTCCAAAGCATTATATCTTGTGGAGTACATGTCCGATTGGCTTCAAATCTTGCAGATATCTTAGATATCTTAGAAGGAGAGTACTTTTGAACAACATTGACCTAGTGTGATGATGACAAGTGACAAGTCACGTGACATTAAAGGTGCACTCTTGAAAGCACTATATATCGTGAAATACATGTCTGACTGGGTTCAAACCTGGCAAATATCTAAGAAGGGGAGTGCTTTAGACAAAATTGATCTGATGTGATGATGACGTGATCTTGTGACAAGTCTCGTGACATTAAAGGTGCACTCTTGAAAGCACCAAACCTCGTGAAGTACCTGTCTGATTGGCATAAAACCTTACCGATATTTTTGAAAGGGAGTGCTTTAGATAATTTTTGACCTCGTGTAATGATGACACCATCAGGTGACAAGTCACTTAGCATTGAAGGTGCAGTTTACAAAGCACAATATCTCCTGAAGCGCATGCCCTTTTTTAAAACCTGTATATGTGTGTGAATATGAATATTTTAAAGAAATTGAGACATACGGCAAGAAGGTACGTTTCTTTAGAACAATAAAAAGGCAAAAAAGCCTTGTGTTCTGCCTTTGTGACAGACACAGAACCTCTAGTTTCTTCCTTCTTCCTCTTCTGACAAA